GATCAAGATCCACTTGTCCCCCAGTGAGTCAGCGGTAAGTTACAAGGCTAAAATCAGGCGTTTCGATTTTCCGTGGTGGACAGAGCGTAAATTGTCTATTGTGTAACTTTGTGCTAAAACAAACAAAATCAACATTCACCTGGTGGCAATTAGAGCTCATATTATATGATTTTTAAGATACTTATTGTTTTATTTATTTATTTTTACTTTGTCCTTAATAAAATAAAAAACAATAAATTAATAAAAAAAAACCAGTGTCAGAGCGGGATGTCTGCGGACTTACAAAGCTAGAATCCTGGTTTCGATATCCGATAGCCCATTGTGTAGCTTTGTGCTTAATTACAAACAAACAAACTTTAAAAAAAAGAAAATTACAAAATTAAAACTGTATCTGGTTCATATTATGCACATTCAACATTTGAGTGCTGATCAAAGTTGTTAATTTAGTTGTATCAACATTTGAGTGCTGATCAAAGTTGTTAATTTTGTTGTATCAACATATGAGTGCTGATCTAAGTTGTTATTTTTAATTTAGTTGTATCAACATTTGAGTGCTGATCTAAGATGTTAATTTTGTTGTATGAACATTTGAGTGCTAATCTAAATTGTTATTTTTAATTTAGTTGTATCAACATTTGAGTGCTGATCTAAATTGTTAATTTAGTTGTATCAACATCTGAGTGCTGATCTAAGTTGTTAATGTAGTTGTATCAACATTTGAGTGCTGATCTAAGTTGTTAATTTAGTTGTATCAACATCTGAGTGCTGATCTAAGTTGTTAATTTAGTTGTATCAACATCTGAGTGCTGATCTAAGTTGTTAATTTAGTTGTATCAACATTTGAGTGCTGATTTAAGTTGTTAATTTAGTTGTATTAACATTTGAGTGCTGATCTAAATTGTTAATTTAGTTGTATCAACATCTGAGTGCTGATCTAAGTTGTTAATTCAGTTGTATCAACATTTGAGTGCTGGCCTAAGTTGTTAATTTAGTTGTATCAACATATTTGAGTGCTGATCTAAATTGTTAATTTAGTTGTATCAACATTTGAGTGCTGATCTAAATTGTTAATTTAGTTGTATCAACATTTGAGTGATGATCTAAGTTGTTAATTTAGTTGCACAATACCTTTTCGTCAAAAATCAGAATAAAATATGTATACACAACGTTTAAAACTACTCGCTCTCTGCGTATTTATATCAGTCTACGTTTTACGTACGCCAAGAAGATGTCTCAATACAATACAAACAAAGTTTAAAACTACTCGCTCTCTGCGTATTTATATCAGTCTACGTTTTACGTACGCCAAGAAGAGTCTCAATACAATACAAACAAAGTTTAAAAGTACTCGCTCTCTGCGTATTTCTATCAGTCTACGTTTTACGTACGCCAAGAAGATGTCTCAATACAATACAAAGTTTAAAACTACTCGCTCTCTGCGTATTTATATCAGTCTACGTTTTACGTACGCCAAGAAGATGTCTCAATACAATACAAAGTTTAAAACTACTCGCTCTCTGCGTATTTCTATCAGTCTACGTTTTACGTACGCCAAGAAGATGTCTCAATACAATACAAAGTTTAAAACTACTCGCTCTCTGCGTATTTATATCAGTCCATATTTTACGTATATCCAGTATAGATTGACCTTCCTACTTCTCTTCTTATATAGTTTCTTGTTTCTCGTTTTCTGAAAGTTTCAAATCGTATCGTAAAACTAATTCGACATCAAACAAAATATCACAATACACAAGACACATTGGTGTCGTTTGTAGGTGATTTCTTCCGGCAGGATTTTTGAAATCGGGAATTGTGATTAATTTAAAAAAATAAAACGTACAACAAAATAATTCATGGTAAACTTCATAATGCTACTTTACTTTAATCGGAACTACATATAGTGTAATGTTAAATTGATTCACATTTAGCGTTTGTACGGCTACAACAAGTTAATGCTACTTTACTTTAATCGGAACTACATATAGTGTAATGTTAAATTGATTCACACTTAGCGTTAGTACGGCTACAACAAGTTAATGCTAATTTACTTTAATCGGAACTACATATAGTGTAATGTTAAATTGATTCACACTTAGAGTTAATAAATCAATAACTCCAGAACTACTCATGTTAATGTTTAATAACTCCATAACCACTCATGTTAATGTTTAATAATTCAACATTCCAGAACCATACATGTTAATCTTTAGTAACTCAATAATCCAAAACCATGTACGTTAATATTTAACAGCTCGACAACAGGGTCAGTTACTCGATACACCAGGAACACACACGGGGTAATGTTTAACAACTCCAGAACCACATAGGGTAATGTTTAACAACTCCAGAACCACACATGTTAATGTTTAATAACTCCAGAACCATACATGTTAATATTCAACAGCTCGACAACAGGGCCAATTACTCGATACACCAGGAACACACACAGGGTAATGTTTAACAACTCCAGAACCACACATGTTAATGTTTAATAACTCCAGAACCATACATGTTAATGTTTAATAACTCCAGAACCATACATGTTAATATTTAACAGCTCGACAACAGGGCCAATTACTCGATACACCAGGAACACACACAGGGTAATGTTTAACAACTCCAGAACAACACATGTTGAGTTTCG